AAAAAATCAAAATACAGGGGAAAAAATGCTTACCCTCACTTACATATCACATACTGATAATTCACATTATTTTTCATTAAAAAAAAAAATTGTTATTGTGACCCACCAAACTGAATTCACAAGACACTAATGGGTCACAACATAAAGTCTGAAAAGCACTGGCTTAGAGGAACTGACAACTATAAGGTCCTTGCTTTCCTATATCTAGTTTGAAAAAACTAGTCAGGAGGTGGAAAAAATGATAAGATGGAATCCCTCCAGAGCAGGGACTGTGCCTTACTGGCACATAATCATCACTTAATGTTTGTTGAATTAATACACTGTGGAATATAAAGCATTTTCAAGGTGAGGACACACCTACAAAGGATACCTTAAAAAAAAAAAAAAAAATTAGGAAAGCATGAGTACTTAGGATGCCTTCAAAACCAGGGATTGTGAAAATAGCTTCAGAAGGTAAAGGAGTGAGATACTAAATGATTCTTAAATAAACAAATGAAGTACCAAAGGGAAAGGAAATTTCATTTTTTAGGATAGGCTTTATATCCAGCAAAGGAAAAAGAAAATCTCTTGTAGAACTGTATAGGAGTCCATTATAAGTGCAAAACGTTTGCAAGCTACCCTGGTTAGAAATTCTAACCATTTCTTTCAAAAATATGTCAAGCTCCAAATGTATAAATCCAAATTCAAATCAAATTACGGAATCCATTTATTTTTAAATATTACCCCCCTCATAGTCATTTGTAAACATTTAATAAGCAGCTAGTGTGTGCTAGCCAAAAATTTACAGAGTGCTTACTATGTATCAGGCAATACATTAAGTAGTTAACAAGGGTTATCCCATTTAAATACCTAACAACCTTGTAAAGTGGATATTACCTTCATTTTATGAATGGGGAATGTCAGGCTTAAAAAGTTACATAAAGAAGTTACACAGCTAATAAATGGTAAAATTAAGGTATATTAAGTGCCAGTTTTATTATTACTGGTGGCTGCAAATCAGAATATTCTGTTCCATTCCATTATTTGTTAATGCTTTTCTCAGAAACTAAATATTGCATGTCTTTCTGAATGAAGTGATTCATCTACTTCTAAATCTGTATAACACTATTAAACTGAATAATTTTATCAAAAGAAAAATTAGCCCTCAACTTTAAAGATAAATTGGAGACCAATTAAATGTAATTATTTGTAAATATCACTGACAGTGACATTTTTAACAGGCTATATATTATGCAGAGTATTTAGTAACCTCTACTTTTATTTACGTGCCAGGTACTTATATTTTGAAAAACCTTTCCACCTTTTATGGGCCACTTATTTTGTCACTAGGTAAGAAGATGCAGCCTTAGACTGTATTTCAAAACAAAAAGCCTGTTTCTAGCATAAATGGAAGAGACTGATATAAAAATAATTGTTACCAAATGTTGACAGAACTGAAAATAATGTTTTTATTTAACTGAAAACATTATTTTCCCAACTGAAAATGTTTCTAGTCCATCGACACAACTTTGTAATTCACGTTGATTTTTTAGAAGAAATGGGACATCTCTAATGAAATTAAATATTAATTTTTTTATCTCTAAAAATTAAAATACTTTAATCCACAATGGAATATAATGGAATGAAATACAGATTTGTATCTTTTTAACATACATTTTAGAATGTGAAATCTTGAAGAGTATCAAAATACAATCAAGCCATGAACAAGTACAGAAACCTAAAGGCAAATAACATACATTGGCACCCTGTTTAATGAAACAATCTCAATTCTATGCAAGACTTGACTACAGAAATAACACTTTTTAGAAGATATTCATTTATATATGATCTTGAACAGCAGCCCTTAACTAATACTAATTTCAAAAAGGTTAAATTAGTATGAGTGCAATTATTATAAGAGACTACTGTTAACCAACATGAGACCCAATGGAAGAATTAATATTAATTGGTAATTGGAATAACAGGTTAACCTCAACTCTAATTTCAATACCAATAGCTGGTCCCTATATAACCTTAGGATTTACTAAGCATTCATATCTACTAAGTACCAGTGAATTCTTAAAATAAATTATATTCTTTATGGTTAGTTAAGAGCATCCAGTCTCTCTGGTATTCTGTAACTAACCAGTTTCTTTCTTTTTAGTGGGATGGCAATATAACATGAGACCAAATATGTACATGCCTTGATATACAGAAAGGTTATTTTATACTAACACATATTCAATCAATTGCCATATTCACAGTTCTTCCAAAATCTATATTATAGAAAATACGATAATTATTGTCTATTCAGTTCATTCATACTTTTGGTCCTATGCACTGTTGTATTTCTTAAAAACCTCTCACAGTTTAAACTTGTTTAAGAAACTATTCTTTAGTTTGGAAGGAAGTTTAGTTACTGTTAAGATAATCTCATACTATTCAAAGCCTTTAAACAAAGCTGAGTCTTAGAAATTCTTCCATCTATAAAACATAAGAATTATAGCCAAATTAACAAATCAGATATCAGAATGCCAAAAATTAAGTCATTAAAAGAGAATCCAGAAAAAGGACCAGTTGTGAAAGAACAGGAAGTGATGCACACTGTCATTTTGTAGATGAACTATTTAGAAACATAAGTAGTACCATGCTAATCTGAAATCAACCCAGACTAAGAGCTCTCAGTATTCCTTTCTGACAGTGGCATCAGAGGTCAGCTGAAATAACCCTCGGGGTTTTTCCTTAATAATGAACTTATCTAATTGATCAAGAACATATTTTTACCACTTTTAGTAGAATTCCTTCCAGCTATGGAAAACAAGGTTTCTTTTCAGCTGTCCTAAAGAGTACCTCTTAGTTCTAACATGCTGAAATACAGTAGTTTACCTATATCCTGTGTACATCCTTAAGTTTTGTAGCCTTTCTTGATAAATTCTCTCTGCCTGCATCTTTCCAAGATAAAAAGTCACTCTTTACTGAACAGTATGCATGGGTTCATACATGCTAATGTATATAAATTAATTATCAACAACAAACCGTAACATAGAGGATTAGACTTTACAGAATAATTTGCCGTATGGGGGAGACTATACACCACTACATGCAGCTTTGTGCCATGAAATAGATTCAAATGAGAAGCGCTGTTAAAGTAAATTCAGTTGAAAATCAAAAAAATAAAGAAAACAAGGAGAATTCCATTTTGAGGAAACAGTAAAACTGATTTAATATACCATTAATGTCTCCCTATGTCAAAGTTATGAAATAAGATGACAGAAACTAAATTAGTGCCTAACACTACTACTATCTTTAAAGCTCTGTCTTAAAATAGGTTTCAAAATGCAAAAACAACAACAACAAAGCTCTTATGGCCAATATTAAATGCAGATGGCATCTGAAAGTATTTAAAAATAAGTCACCCAAAAAATGAAGCTTAAACACCAAATACAACTTGTTAATAAAATATCAAGACAACTCGTATCTATACATATTTAGTCATCTCCATCGCTTTGTGAAAAATTTAATTCTATGAATATTCATATATTGAACATTTTGAAATCACTTCATCAGTAAATTTAAATATTTTTTTAAAAAGTTATCAACAGTAGACTTCAAGACTGCTTTTTGATCACAAAAAGCACTTGGCAACACACTTCCAGAAAGTCAAATTTTTTATTCTATTTATTTCTACTCTACTAAGGACAAAACCAAGTACTACTGTAAACCAGATAAGAAGATGTCTTAAATATGGTATGAAGCAAAAGTGGAAAAACGACTTATTTACTACAGAAGAGGGGTACAGATTATATCACAACATAATTAGGCAAGTTAGTGTTTATTTTTTCATTTCCTTAAGAAACAAAACACTTGCAACAGAAAGATATGTAACCTAAACATTTTCGAAAAATTCCAATTTCGATGTTATACAAAACATTAACCCTAAAAATTCACAGCTCAAGAAGGAATGTCCATCAGACGGCCTGTCTGTATGCAGTAATCTTTAATAATTCTTCAAGAACTACAAAAGTCATAGGAAGAAAATGTGAGGGAAGTGAGGGGGTAGGGAGTACAAAATTATTTTACTTTAACCCTAACGAAAACGGAATATGCGCTCTCTTTCTCTCTCTTTCTCTCTCTCTCTCTTTCTCTCTCTCTCTCTCTCTCTCCTCTCTCTCACACACACACACACACACACACACACACACACACACACACACGCGCGCGAAACGTCAATCCAATGTTTAAAAGAGACTGAGACATAAAAACTGTTCTAACATGGCAGGGTCCCTCTCAAGAGCCCATATCCCCCAACAATAACAACAGGAATAGATATACTTCCCAGGGACAGACCTCAGGGGAAGAGTATTAAACTGATACTGTTATCGATTTAAAGCCAAAGGAAAGAGAGTAACCTTTCCAAGGAAAGCGCCATTTCTTCCCTCTCCTGCTCTCCCTCCCTTCGGGGTACACACGGGCCTGTGTATGAAGAAACTGCCTTGGACTTCTGCAGCACTGCAGTAGACTAAAGGATAAGGAAGGGGGAAGGGTAGGGGGGTGAGAAACGCTTCCATTACCCCTACAGAAAAGAGGTATAGATTTCCTGGGGGGTGGGGGCTGGAATCAACCCAGGAGGCTAACCAGAACAGACTCTCTTCCCAAGAATACACAGACACTACAAAGGAAAGGGAGGAGCAGAGGGACCAGAAGGGAAAGGGACCTCGCGCCTTTTAAACTGGGGTGCACGTCAACTCAGTCTCCCTCTGAGGGCCACACCTTCTTCGAGACATCCCCTTCCACCACTCCTTCCGCTGACCCTTAAGAAAGAGAAATGTAATTGCTCTTGTCCCTCAAAACAGGAGGGCGTCCAGCTCACCAGCTTGTTCACCCCACCCACAGAATCACAGACCATCCTAGTCTCCCTCCCCCACCCTACCCCCACATCCCTTCTTCCGCGCAGAGGCCAGAGTGGGCCGAATTTCCCCGCCCCCTCCAAGTCTCTTTTCTCAAAGCAGAGGTGCCCTTACCCTTTCGCCGGCAGATCTGGGGCGGAGTAGGCAGGCGCAGCCCCCTACAGCGCTCAGGTAGCCGCTACACTGGAGGGCGAGGAGTGAGGAGGAGGGGGTCTGGCGACACACTGCCGCCCCCCCCACCCCGCGGAGCCCCAGCGAGCAGCCCAGCCCAACTCTGCGACAAGGGGCGGGGGGGGGGCCAAGGGACGACCGGGGTCGAGGAGGTGCCCTCAGCGCTTGGGCTCAGCTAAGATGGCGCGGGGAAGTGCCGGGAGCCGCTGCCGCTTCGGGGGAACCGGCCCGGGCCTCGGCCGCCTCCCTTCCGCACACAGCCGAGGCCCTGTCGGTCCCCCGTCGCGGCCCCTCGGCGGGCGGGCCCACGCACAGCCCTCTGCCACCACCACCACCCCTGGGAAGGGGGCGCTCACAAAGGGAAGAGAGGCCGCGGGCCGCCCGGCCGGCGGCGGGGCGGGGTCCCCAGGGGCCGGGAGGCCTCAGAGGTTCGTGGGTGCCTCGCGCTCTCGGCCCGCGAAGGGCGCAGGCAGGCGGGACCCCTCCTCTCTTCTCAGGCAGGCGGCGGCACCGACTCACTCTCTTTGCCACCCTCCCTCTCTCTACCCGAGCCCTGAAGCCACAGAGCCCAGCCGCTGCCCAGGTTCCCCCCCCCTTCCCCGACACCACTCCCCTCCTCCAGACAGTCATCCCAGTCTCCGATCTCGCGAGATTTCGCGCCTGACAGGCCCGACCTCGCGCGAGACCCGACTACGTACGCGTGCACGCCCTCACGGGAGCGCGCGAATACCTTCACTGGGCGGAGTCTCCCGAGTGGCCCATGCCCCAACCTCTGTCCAGCCTGGCTTCGCTCAGCTGGCAGAGCTTCTATGCCACGCGGGCGTCAGGTGCATTCATTTCACCCTGAAATCTGAGAAAAAAGAGCTTATCTGCTCTCTTTCCTTCTTCCCACTCCCAAAGATCCGCCCCAGACTAACCCTGAGATTGAGAAGTTTGCCCTGACATGTAAAATATCCCATTCTTACACACCTTAGTTAACCCCTCCGTGGAATTCAGAGGTAAAGTGGTCAGTGTAACCAGTATGTAATTAAGTTTTAGAGATTCTAATGGTTTATAATAATTTTTGGAATAGTATTAAGAGTTAGAAATCAAAACCATCCTGTATGTTGGTAAGGATAGGAAAGAGACAAATTCTTGAAAAGTTTTTATGGATTTTTTTAGTAGATGAGTGGTGAGAAGTTTTTGGAACAAGAGCAGTAAACAGAGTCCTAAGAGTCGTAATGCAAGAAAGAGGTAAGCTCATTTTTTATGGTGAAAACTTTTTTAGAGGAAAACCCCTTCAGTGGACCACAAAAAGCAATTTTATTCAATAACTAAAAGGTGTGCTTAAAGAGCAGTCATAAAAAAATCTCAATTCTTCAATCAATTAAAAAACTGAAATAAATAGATCTGTTGAGTGAGACTTGTGAGTAAAAATGTACTCTAGAACAGTTATTGGAAGATAAACTCAAAGTAAACTGGCCATGATCAGAAAAACAAACTCTGTTTCAATGGGATATACATATAATTTGTTCTGTATATTCCCTCTCATAGTAAGTAAGAGTCCTATGAGCCAGTCATTTCTCTTTTCATGGTCAACCACTATATGGTCAATCACTGTCAAATAGCAACTGCCCCTCAGCATAAAAAATATGCCCTAGTTTCTCCTTCTTTGGGAGGGGGGATTACAATCTTTACATCTCCCCCGCTTCACAGCCAAGCTTCTTAGAAAAGTTGCCTATCTTCCCACCTCTACAGGAACTGACCTTGCTGAGGTCCAGAGTGAGCTTCTAGTTGCCATGTCTAGTGGAGTCATTTAAATCCTTTTCTTCTTGACATCTGCATTATTTGACATAGTTGATACTCCTCCAGTCTTGAAACTGTGTTCCTCCTTGGCTTTTTCAACACCACTCAACACCAGTTTCCCTTCTATCTTCCCACCCCCAAGGCCTCTCTTCCTCCACCCATCCCTTAAATGATGCCCCTCCAATCCTTATCTTTCTTCTGAAAATGTTATAGCAAGAATATTCTCTTCTCATTATTTCATACATTTGGGAATGGAGATTCAGCTTTTCCCATGGTATTTATTCTTTTTTTTTTTTTACGGAAAATTTCAAACATACACAAAAGGAGTAAGATAAAATAATAAATCTCCATGTGTCTATCACCCAGCTTCGACTATTATCAATACTTTATCATTCTTTTCTCACCTATTTCTTTACAACTCCTGATGTATTTTTAAGTAACTCTCTAGTAAACATATTGTAACATTTCATCTGTAAATACTTCAGATGTATCTCTAACAAAGGCTTTTGTTGCAACAAAATCACAATGTGATCACACCTTTACAATAATTATTTAATATCATTTAATACCCAATCCATGTTTAGTTTTTCCCAATAGTTTCCAAAAATATTTTTTATAGTCTATTTATCTGAATCAGGATCTGAACAAGTTCTACACTTTGGATGTGATTGATAAATATACCTCTTAAGTCTCTTTTCATGTATAACAGTTTCCCTTTCTTTTTCTTCCTTCCTTTCTTTGTCTTCCTTCCTTTCTTTTTCTTCCTTCCTTTCTTTTTTGTGTTCAGTTCATTTGTCGAAGAAATCAAATTATATATCTTGTAAAATTTTCCACATTCTCAGCTTAGCCAATTGCGTCCTCATGATGTTATTTCACATTTGCTTCATTACCCACATATTTTATAAACTGGCAGTTAAATCTAAAGGTTTAATGTTGTATAGGTGGTGTTTTTATATTTTATATCTGCTACTACCTTATTCTCACATTTACCTCTATCTCTACCACAAATTATAGCAACCCCTACCTCCCCCCCTGTTTCCCTAGCACATAGGGCATCATAACAGTCCCTGGCTATCATTATTATTATTATTATTATTATTATTATTATTATTATTATTATTCCAGGTCTGTGCTTATGATCTGATGCCAATAGGCCTTGCTCCTCAGTTCTTCAAGTTACACACACACACACACACACACACAGGCTTATCTCAACATCACATTTGTTCAACAAGAAAGCATCATTAGTAGATATTGCAAAACTTATCAATTATTTAATTTTCAAAATTGTGTCAAAAAAATTGCATTCATTAATGATAGGAAAATAATGTCAATATTGTCAATAATGTCAATGGTTACAGATATTGCTCATTCTGTGGGATGACCTTATGAACATTTCTCCGACTTGTCCTCTTCTTCATCCCCACTGCCTCTGCTATGGTGGTTCATACTTCGGTTTCTCACCAGGGGTACTGTAATTGCTTTCCAGATACTCTCCTTGATTCCCAGGGTGCCCCATTCTCTATACTAAGGTGAATGGCTTTAATCTTCCAAAGATGCAGTTCCTAAAAGCTGAGTGTGTCATTTCTCTACTTAAAACTCTCCCATGGCTCCCCAAAGTCCTCCAAATAAAATCCAGACAAAACCCCTGCATATTTCTCTAGCCTTATTTAGGATGTTCCTGCCATCCTGAAACTGTTCTGCTAACTGCTAATATGCTGTCTCTAGGATGCAGCACTGCATTCCTCTGCCTGAAATGTCTTCTCTAGTTGGCTAATAATCCTTCCAGATTCAACTCAAGGGACACCTCCCTGACAGGCCTTCTCAAAGCTCAGTTAGGTATCTTTTGAGCCTGTATATCAGAGTCAAAAACTGTGGGGAGAATAGGTATCAACCATGTTTTGACCTTGATAAAAGTTACCCAAGCAAACACAAAAATACAAATAAGATCTTTCTAAACATCTTGTTTAATCCTCACAACAAACTTGTGAGAAGGGTCATATTATTATTACCTCCATTTTATGGTAAGGAACCAGGGTTCAGAGAGCTTATGTCACTTGCCCAATATCACCAACTAATGAATAAGTGGTGAACTAGAATTTGAACCCAGTTGTGAATGAATCCAAAGCACACTCTCTCTCTACCATATTGTACTCCTAGCACCACCAACCAAGGAAAGTGTGATGCCATGTACACATTTCTAGTATGTGTAAAAGATGCTTGACCATGTGTAATGTCATTGTATTTGTTGTCACAGACATATCTGTGTATGAAAAGATAACTTGTAAATGCGTGGGTAGGTACTCTGATATGGTATCTATCCAATAAGAGTATCTTTTCAGTATTGTCACTCAGTAAGAGATCAAGTCATGTTCAACTCCACATAACAAATACTTGTTGAATTTCTACTGTGTGTTAGGCTTAAGTAAAATACAGAAGAGGCAAATGAAAATAACGTTTATAGAGTTATTCTGTGCCAAGAACTTTATGAAGCAAGTGCTTTATGTTCATTATCCCTTTGAACTTCCCAATTACCCTAAAAGAAGCATAATGATGATGATTCCCATTACAGAGGACGAAAGCTCAGAAAAGTTAAATAACTGTGTAACATCACATGGGTAGTAAGTGAAGAACTATTAGATTACAGGTTCAATCTTAAGACCCTGTTTTTCTTGCTACCTCCTAGTCTCCTTCTTCTCCATACTAAGAACTCAAAATCCTACTAGAGAGATAAGATGTGCACACACAAAACATTTAAATAACGATGCAGAACGACCTATCAGCAAGTGATGCACTGTATCGGACCTTGATTTTACTTTTCTGGCCTCAGTTTCCTTTCTAACTGAAATGGACTAGAATTATCTCTAGAGTCCTTTTAGTTCAAAAATCTATAATTATAGGAATGATGCAAATAATGTGTACAGATAACTCGAATTCTGAATGTGTGTGTGTATGTGTGTGTATGTGTATACATGCATACTTAGAAACAGAAAGAAAATACTTCTTTGGGTGTTTTACCAGACTCTTACTAAAATCTTCATTGGTCATGATGATATCTTCACCCAGCATTAGCTAGTATATATACTTTTTGCAATTACATTGTGATTACTTATGAAAATCTCTATTTCCTCACAGAAGGCAAAAACCAAAAAAGCTGAGTATATAAGAGGGTAGTTGGTGAGAAGGACATGTCTTAGAATTTCCAGTTTAGAAACCATGGGTGAGGCTGATAATCATTGAGTAGATAAATTTACTGGATGCCCATTCAGTGCCTCCTGGGCTGTTATCAATGCTTCCATATATTTTGTCTTTAGGCCCCAGGACCAACTAAGGCAGGTTACAGTCTGGCTGTCATACGTCACTCAGGCATGTCTACAAATGGCTGCCTAATAAGCAAGCATGGTTTCACAGGCTGAAAAAGAAAGCTCATCAGGTACAGAGTTGTTCTTGAGCTCTGCATTCCCATGTAATTGGATCCATTTTTAAAATGCCAATCTTTTAAAAATGCCTGCACATGGAGGTAGCAGATTCTTCTATTTCAGCCTACAGGAATAGATAAATGTTGGGCCAAGATCCCGTAAGGAAGATAGAATACAATTCAGTTTAAGAAAGTCCTGACCTAGAAATCTTCAGTCTCAGGTGTCTATCAGATAAGCATCTGCAGTGAGCCATGAATAAGTTAAAGCAGCTGCACCAGAGTCTAAAAAATATCCAACGCTGAAGATGTCAAGTAATAGATGTGAAGGTAGCGCAGCAGTAGTTAAAAAGATTGATGTGGAGTCCCACCTCCATCACTTTCTAGTGCCAGTGACTAC